CATAACTATGACTCATGGAGCATACAGATGCGATCTGTCTTAGTGCACGCGGAATTGTGGAGTGTGGCATCAGGTGCTGAACCTAGTAATACTGAGAGTTCAAGGCCAAAAGATGAAAAGGCATTAGCAATTATAACGCTAAGTGTAAAAGCTTCACAATTGGGCTTCATTAAAAATTGCAACACTTCGTACGAGGCATGGAAAAAGTTAAAGGACGTTCATCAGCCGAGTGGACCTGTACGGAAAGTGTCGCTGTACAAGAAATTGCTAGGCAAACGCATGTTTCAAGGCCAAAGCATTTCAAGTTACATACACGAATTTAACGAAATTCTGGATGGTTTGTGTACAGTTGGCATCGAATTAAATGATGAGTTAAAAACAATCGTGTTGTTGTCAAGCTTGCCCGAACCATACGAAAATTTTGTCGTCGCCATTGAGACGCGTGACAATTTACCGTCATTTGATGTGTTATGTATCAAGCTGATGGAAGAGGGAGAGCGCAGAGGCAATGCAGATGGAGAGAGCGAGAATGCAAGAGCATTTATAGCTACGCAGCAGATCGTCGCGCATTCCAAAGCGAATTCAAAAAGGAATTCAAAAATCGTCGTTTGCTACAACTGCGGCGAAAAAGGGCACTACAAGGCACAGTGCAAGCGTGAGAAAATTCGCGGTGAAGGGAAAAAGCAATCGACAAAGAAAGAGATGGAAAAGCAGAGCAGCTTGTTAAATGCGTTGGACGTTGGAAAGATAGAGAACAACATGTGGTGTCTGGACAGCGGAGCAACAAGCCATATGTGTTGCGATAAGACGTTATTTTCAAAATTTATTGCGCACACTGAAATGATCGGTTTAGCTGACGCTGGTTTCCTGAAGGCCGAAGGCAGAGGAGAGGTGAAGTTACAGACAGAACTTTGTACCTTGGTGTTGTCAGATGTACTGTATGTACCGAAAATGAATGGCAACTTTATGTCCGTCAGCCGGTCAGTGCAAAAGAACAATGTTATACATTTTGGGCCACATTTTGCTAAAGTTATACAAAACGGCGAGTGTATACTGAAAGCGAATAAAGTTGGGAACCTTTATATGTTTCAAGGTAAACAAAATAGGTGTTATTCCGCAACTGAATCAGATGGTACATTGTGGCATAAGCGTTATGGCCATTTAAATTTTACCAGTCTGAAGGAAGTGATCAGCAAAGAGCTAGTGCGTGGTATTGGAAAGGTTGTTTTCCCAGACAACTTGAATTGCAAAACGTGTATGCTAAGCAAAATACATGTACAGCCATTCCCAAAGGTAAGCACTAACCGTGCCGAAGAGCTGTTGGAACTGGTTCATGCTGATGTATGCGGCCCATTCGACACGAAGTCACTTGCTGGATCCAAATACTTTCTGACCTTCATCGATGACAAGTCCAGGCGTATATTTGTTTATTTTTTGCGGAAGAAAGATGAAGTGTTCAGTAAGTTCGTCGAATTTAAAAACTTGGTTGAACGGCAAACAGATAAAAAGCTCAAATGTATTCGAACCGACAATGGAGGCGAGTTTGTCAACACAACATTCAACGGTTTCCTGAAACACCATGGTATTGCAAGGCAATTGACCGTGGCTTATACTCCGCAGCAGAACGGCGTGGCGGAAAGAGCAAACCGGACATTAACGGAGATGTCCAGATGCTTATTGGTGCAGTCGGGCCTAGGCGAGTCTTTGTGGGCCGAAGCAGTCAACACAGCAGTATACATAAGAAACAGATCACCTACCAGTGCACTGAACAACCTGACTCCAATGGAAGCGTGGACAGGTAAGAAACCCTGTGTTAGCCATCTAAAAGTTTTTGGTTCCATTGCAGTTGCACTTGCAAAGGGTCCCCGTAAAGGCAAATTCAAACCCAAAGGGCATGAGTACCGTATGGTTGGGTATTCGGTAGCAGCCAAAGGCTATCGGTTATACGACCCAGAGACGAGGACGATTGTCGAAAAACGAGACATTCTATTTGATGAGCGTTGTGGTGGTCATACCAATGAAGATACCGTTACGGTAGATTTTCCTGCATGCGAGGTTCAAGAGCATGTCACTCACACGGATGGTGACAGAAGCATCGACGACGATGACAGTGAGCACAGTTCTGACGACAGCAGCTCCAACGCATATGAGAGTGCAGTCGAAAAAGAAGACTCTGACGAGGATACTGTGAAGATTGGGCCAGGCCGGCCTAAAATTGTTCGAAATGGTAAACCTGGTCGTCCAAGAAAGCAATACAATGTGCTTGGAGCATTGGTTGCTAGTGACGTAATGGTTCCGACATCCTATGATCAGGCCGTTGGTAGCACACATGCAGTATTCTGGCAAGAGGCGATGCAAAAGGAATATCAGGCACTACAATCAAACGAAACCTGGCAGATGGCTGATTTACCAAAAGATCAGCGAGCAGTTGGTTGCAAGTGGGTATACAGCCTGAAACGTGACTCTGATGGAAAAGTCGAACGTTTCAAGGCACGACTCGTTGCTAAAGGGTGCTCCCAGAAGTATGGCGTGAACTATGTAGAGACGTTCTCACCCGTTTGCAGATTGGAAACCGTGCGGTTTATTTTGGCGTTAGCAGCGGAATTGAAGCTGTACCTTCACCAGATAGATGTGTGTACCGCCTATTTGAATAGCGACCTGCATGAAACTGTTTATATGAAGCAGCCACAGGGATACACAGATCCCAATAATCCAAGTAAGGCTTTATTGCTTAAAAAGGCAATATATGGATTGAAGCAGTCGGGGCGCGAGTGGAACTCCAAGCTCGATTGTGTACTACAAGGCATAGATTTTGTAGCATGTGAAAATGAACCGTGTCTTTACAAAAGGAACGGAAGAGGTGACTTATCATTAATCCTTGTTTATGTTGATGATATAATTATAGCATGCCGATCAAAAGAGGACTTGGCCAACATCAAGTCAGCCATTACAACATCGTTTGAATGTGTTGACAAGGGAGAGCTGCATTTGTTCCTTGGCATGGAAGTGCAGCGCGACGGTGAGCTTGGCGAAATTTCGCTAAGCAATTCGCAATACATCAAAGACATATTGCGTGAACATGGATGCGAGACCTGTAGACCTACAGCGACCCCACTGGATGCTGGTTTCCAAGTGATATGTACCAGCGAGCATTGTCAAAAGGTTGACATTGCATCCTACCAGTCTTCAATTGGCGAGTTAATGTGGCTGGCGCTTACAACAAGGCCAGACATATTGCATTCCGTTGCCAAGTTAGCTCAACGGAATCAAGATCCGCATGCAGAGCACCTAGTGGGTGTAAAACATGTGCTTCGATACCTGGCGTCAACTGTGGACCTGAAGTTGCACTACAAAGAGTGTGGACAACCCCTTACCGGCTATGTGGATGCAGACTGGGGTGGCGACCGCATCGATCGCAAGTCGTATACTGGCTATGTATACTACTTGGCTGGAGGACCCATATCCTGGCGATCTGAAAAGCAACGCAGCGTGGCACTTAGCAGCACGGAGGCGGAGTATATGGCTCTTTCAACTGCGTGTAAGGAGGCCATATACCTACGGCGTCTTATAGTGGAGATTGGCTGCGGTGACTCGAGTACTCCAACTATTCTTCATGGCGATAATTTAAGTGCTCAACAATTAGCTAAGAATCCTGTACACCATGAAAGAACAAAGCATATTGATATTAGATATCATTTTGCAAGACAGGTTGTAAACGAAGAACAAATTGTTTTACAGTATACATCAACCAATGAAATGATAGCTGATATTTTAACGAAAAATCTCCCTAAAGCGAAGCATGTTCATTTTACAAAGCTGTTAAATTTGATTTGAAAATTTTTGTAAAACATGTTTGCATTGAGGAAGGGTGTTGAAAATCAATACAAACATAAGTACCAATGCACGCATGTTAATATAAGCAGATAATAATCTTATGTTATCTACAAGTTATCTGTCACTGTTGCATACGAATGTAAGCATAAAGAATATGTATAGCAAAAGTGTCAGTCTCCAATAAAACTCTAAAGCGAACAGACGCACGGCGGTCCGCGACTATTGTTTTTTACTTTACTCCTACTGAGCCCTTCCCTTTTCAGCGAATATATAATCTATTCAATAGTTCATTCATGAAAAACGTGAGAAATTTTATAAATAAGTAAATAAACATTTTATGCCAGTTTTCAGAGGATAGAATTTCAGAATAATTTTAGAATAATTTCGTTTCCAGTCGTGAAAACACAATGCTATTAAAGGCCTACTTTTGAAATTCTATTCCAAGAAATCTGGCAAACATGGAAAGAGTGTCTTTAGTGCTAATTCTGTAAAAACAAAATTAAAAATCTATAAATGCAAGCAAAGTTTATTATTAAGTAATATCAAGGAATCTAAAACCTATTTTTAAAACAAACAAATTCTGGTTTAAGATGCTTCAATTTATATGACATGACATGACACACCAATTATATTTGTATAAAAGTTATTATAATTTTCAAATTCTAACAGAAGATAAAAAATGGTCAACTCTTAAGAGTTCGTGTTCCCCAAAAAAGGCTAAAGTGGCAGCACTGACACACACACACACACTCACACAAACACAGAGAGACACAGACACAGTCGTCAGCTCAGCCCAATTAGGCTTATTTGTGTTTAAATTGAATTAGAGCAGCGCGAACAAGCAGAACAAAAAATGTTGCTCGTCATGTAAGGATGCGCATGATTTCTAAGTCCGCCCTCGGCTTAGCAGCAGCAGCCAATTGGCGTATTTATCAATACATTCTTATCGATGCTGCTTACTACTAAGTGCCATGCTTATATAACTATTTGTATTGCCGCAGACACATTCAATGGAGCGCCTCATTACAAATGATTTCGATTTTAATGCTGATGGCTTTTAGCTCTTGAGGCTAAATAATTATAGCACATATGTACAAACATGTGTAGTTATGGTACGGGCTATTTACTTTGGCATTTACTTGGCATATGTTCAATTTAATACTTACACTTTTGATTTCGTTCATTTTCGTAAACTGTCGACCAAATTCCCATAAATCAACGCCAAACTTGAGCGCCCAATTGCGTACTCTGTAAGGGAATTAAAGCAGATTTCATTAAATTCGTTATAAGATATTGCATGTGTAGAGATAAGTGAATAAGATAAACATGTGTTAACATTCTGAATAATATTGAATATTTTAGATGTACTCGTATGTTTACAAAAGCTCATATCGGTTAGAAGTCAGCGCTTAAATGGATCACTTTTTTGGGTGCTGTTAAAGGTTCTTAACACTAATCTTTCATTTAAAGTAAGGCGAAGAATTTGTTGTGAAGAGCACAAAATATTTCAACAGTTGTTCGCACAAATAAAAAACAAATATAATCTGTGGAGTATCAATAGAACAAATATAAATTGTTGCTGTTTTAAATTACCTTTTTGCACTTTATTTTCATTTACAGACTTGAATACGAAAAAAATTAAATTATATTTGGTAGCTAACATTATTCTGCTTTATTATTTACATACATATTATTACAATTATTAAATACATAAATTATTAAATAAATAAATAAATACAACTGTATTTAGAAATTGTGCAGATAAAATGTTACTAAATGCTTTTTATCCTTTTTTGCTTTACTAGAGAAAAGTGGACAGTGGAAAGTTTTTTGCAAATATGTATAATATTTATTTTATACATATTTCTAGAATTGCAATTGACATTATTAGTTTAGCAACAAAAAGAGCTTTTAGATGCTATATAGGTCCTATCTAGCTCTTAGGTGCTTGTGTGTGTTTTTTTTTTTTAATAAAAGCCTGCTTCTGGTTGTTGACTGAAAGGAAACAAGGAGACTCCTGGAGCTTATCGATTTCATAGTCATGCTCATGTGTAGCGTCCAATTTTGCATTATCGTCGCTTGCATTTCTGGTTTCTGGTTCGATTGCCACTCTATACTGTGCAGAATTGTTTAAATATTTGGTTAGAAGTTGCTGGTGGTCGGTCCTAAACCAAAGCTCTGGCCTGCCTCAACTTGGAGGATGTCGTGTCTTTTTTCAACTACTATATCGAATGCTCGCAAGTATCCCTCCTGCTGCTTATATTGCTTGTGATTGGAATGCGAACTTCTCTTTTTAATTTGATAGCAATTGGTTAAATGTTTGATGTGATTTTCTTTACCATCTGAATTCATAATTGGAAACGGATTGCGGTCAAGCCAACATTTTTGAAGTCTAAGCAATAAGTCTAAGAGTACATTACGGATTTGTTATTCAATTCAACTATGTAATTACTATTGCGAATAAGTCATGCGCTGTTTTGTTTTTTTAATAATTTCTAATTTTTTTTTTTATAACAGAAAACGGAATCGTCATACAATATCCACAATAGCCATAAATTAAAGAACAGAACATAGTAGTGTTTTCTGTTTTAAAAAGATACCCAACTTCACATAGAGTATACAAAAATATGAAAGATTTACATTATGATGTAAGGTTGAGTTTGAACAGTTTGAAGCGACATTAATAGCCTGTCTAAAAGATCCCCCAGTTGTTTTCTCTTTAGAAGGCTGATAGGACGCTCATCTAAAAGGTGTCTGAAAATATGGCCCTTTTGCATCACTGGGCCAGCTAGGGGTCAATTAAACGAAGCGTTGAGGTGCTTGAAACATATTATTGCAAATAAGTCATATGTGATTAAATTGTGCGCATATTTCAAATAGCATAGCGCTTACTATAATATTCGATGTTTATTCGACTGCAGCATTATATTTTGCATTTTATAAGCATTATATTCTTTATTTTAAGTTACTATCCTAATTGGCAGTTTGCCACTTTACAAGTGATTGCTTGGCACTCTATGTAGCTATACTGTCTCCTGTTTTCCCCCCCTTTCCACGCCTCATGTCAACATAATACAATTTTCATATAATTTAAATTCATTTTTGCTGCACTCCCAAAAAGAGAGAATGAGAAAGGAGAGAATGCCACGCATAAAGTTTTATTCGTAGTTGTTGTTCTTGTTGTTTTACTGTCTTTACTGTCGCTTGTATCTTTCAATGCTGCACTTCCTTTTGCCTCTACTCCTCCCTCCCCCTCTCTCTCTCTCCCTCTCTCTCTCTGCTGTTTTATGTTCGTTTGTTATTTTTGCTCTTATTGTTGTTGCTGCTGCTTCTGCTGTCTGGGAGTGCATATAAACATGCGCTTATTTTGTATCTAGATAGCCAGAACTGCTGTGGCACTGGGGCTCAGCAGCATAATCAACATTGCGTATACGCAGCGTAGCACAGCGCACGCTTCCTGAATTTCATGCTGTGGCTTTTTTGGCTGCTGCTGTTTTTTGCTCTATTGATATTTTGCAGATAATGCCATAAAATTGTGCAAATATTTTCTGGAGAGTCATTATCTTCCATGCGGTTGCTTTTGCCTCCGCGTCTCCGTCGTTCTTTTTTTTTTTTCAAATAATATTTCATGTTGCTTTTATCAACATGCCTGGAAACTGCTCCTCTGCCTGGGTTGCCTTATAAAATGCTCCGAGTGTTTTGCTTTTGACTTTTGAGCTTAGATTATAAATGTTTAGCAAATGTTTTTGCAGAATAGTTTGTTTTGTGAGCTGGTGTGTTGTAGCCTGTAATGAGTTGCTTTTGTTTCAAGCTCCTTTTAAATCAATCAGCTAGAAAATGAGTAAATACCCTTTTTTCAAGACTCTTTTCCTCTGCTTTTGAGCTCTTTCAGGTTGTGATAAACAGCATAGAAAACTCTCCTCTCTCAATATCTTTATATGCTGTTTTTTGTAAATAATCATAATGTTTATTTTATGATTATGGCCAACACGTAATGTTGGCGTGAATGTGTCATAAAAATGTCTACCTACAACTGATGTGCGTGCATTTTAAAATCAATTAAATCAAATTGCCTTTTTATCAGTCTAATGCACATATGAAGTAGGCCGTTACCGCATAACTACGTGTATTTATTAAATTATTTCAATAAAATGATTTATAGCTGCCCGGCTGAAGTGAAATAATAAAATAATTTAATGTTGATTTATTTAAACAATTCTTCTAGTTTTGAACTTAATATGCATGATCTCAACAAGTATGCGCACATGTAGTTGGAAAGCATATGTATATCTGCACTTAACCATCAGCTGTATGGTAGAGTATTGTTGCCCAGATTCGCACATCAAAGTGCCTTACACATGCAACTCACGTAAAACTAAGCGACACGAACTGAACAATGCATGCATAAAAGCCAAAAACAGCCACAAAAACATCGACCACAACACTGCCACTGCAATGAAAGGCCATCAATGTCATCTTAGAGGCAGGCGAGGCACGTGCTACAAAGGCAACACGACCGGGCAGGAGAGTTTTATGCTGCTTGGCCTCAAAAACGAATGGCTGCTATGGCTCGGGGGTGGGAGGCAGAGAACAGAGAACAGAGAATAAAGAATCAAAGCGACAGCAAACTTGACAATGCGACCTGAGAGTGCAGGTATAGACAAATGCAAAGATATAGGCACACTCAAAAAAATAATAATAACCAATCATTGGCAAATGTTAAATGCTGATTAATGCATACAAATATCTTTAAAAAATGAGAAATAAATTAAAAAAGTTTATAATCAATTTATAAGAATTTTAAGTGTTCAAAAAATATGATTGAATATGATCTAAATCAGTTGATGGTTAATGTACTTTAGAAATATGCAAATTCAATTAAACATTAAATCACAGATCAAATTTTGGAGTAATAAAGGAAAAAGCTGGAAGCTGGACATTCCATCTCTTTTTTTGTGAAGGTTTTTATTACTCTTTTAATTCAATTAAAGATTAAATCACACTAAAGGATCTAATATATATAACTCATTTTGGAGTAATAATGAAAAAATAGGATGCTGGACATTCCATCTCTGTTTTTTGTGAAGAATTTTATTGCTCCTTGAATTATTTTAATTACTCTTCAATTCAATATATATAACTAATTTTGGAGTAATAATGAAAAAATAGGATGCTGGACATTACTTCTCTGTTTTTTGTGAAGTACTTTATTACTCTTTAAATTGCAGCCTCTGAGACTGTCAAATTCTTAATTAAATAAACTCTGCTGCTTTATGGTGGCCAGATTATATACTTAAAATAATATGAAAAGATTAGATTAATTAGTTACAGCTCAATAACCCCCTTCATTATGGCCATTAGAAATCCATTTCAAAATTTGTGAATTTTAAATAGAAATACCGATAGATAGATTGGACATAAATCGACATAAAGCTGGCTCGATTGACACTAAAACTACCAAAATGTCTCAAAGACGATATTATATATTTATTTAGTTTATCGACAAACATAGCTGTGACATAAAAAAGAATCAATGCAATAAAAAACTTCAAATACTTGTAAATAATTAATTTAATTCAACTAATTTAGTTTACCGACAAACCTAGCTCAAATTAAACATAGCTGCGAAGTAAAAAAAAAGAAATGCAACAAAGACCTAAATAGCTAAATAAACTAAATAAAATTAAAGAATAATAAATTTCTATAAATACTACAAAATTATACAATAACTAATGCCACTGCATATTCGATTTTTGGAACAACAATTTTAAGTTATACTAGGAATCCCAATAACTCACCTAATCTTCTTCCTCAATACATAAGCTTTAACTCCCTGAATCCCTGAATACTAGAACACAATTTTTTGTGAAGTGTATTTATAGGTTGGTTTATGTAACTGTATGGATGTTGCTTGCATCTCAGGTGTATTGTCTTGTGCGTCTTTTTAGGCACGAACCACGTACGAGTCCTCGTATGTCAAACTCGTACTCAAGTGTCATACACGTAAGCCATCAAACGAAGCACATAGTTTCGGTTTTTGGCATTCTTTGGCGATTTTCACTCTTTCTTATACACCAGCCAGCCAGCGAGCCAGCCCTTTGAGAGTAGGTCAATAGGTTTCATTGAAATTGAAATGAGTTGAGCTTAAAGGTAACAACAACAGGGCGTATAAGTAATGTGTGAAAAAAATGTGTGTGTGTTTGTTATTTTCTTCTCCAAATGAATTTCTATGAACGAAAAAATTCATG